AGTTTTTCAGTTGACTTCAGTGAATTTTGGATTAGACTCTTCCACAGTGTGGAGTATGAGCCCTCTGTTTCCTCAGTGGAGGGGTGGGAAGAAACCCCTCCCACAGTGGAAAAATTTGGAGGAAGCTCACTGAGTTTTCCTCACCTCAGTTTCCTTCCTTATAGGATTTTTCCAGAAAAGAAGGAAATTTCTGTTTGTCTGAGATTTTTGTAAAAATGAAAAGCGAAGAAGTTTGTTTTGCAAACATCTAGAAATTTGGACCTTATATGATCTGACAGTGTCCCTTTAAACTTTTTTATACTGACTTTGAAATATTCCAGACATACTTGTGTGGTGTATAGACCTATGTATGAACATCTATATTTATCACTTTGTTGGACCAGAAGGAGGAAAGGGGCAACCCAATTACATTGCATACTGTACAGTTAGGAACTGGTGTATGACTAAGTCAGTAGTGAGATGAGTCAGGTGTCATAAAAAACAGAGGATGCTGATTGGATGATGAAAAATTCCATCTGTTCAGGAAGCTAGTATAACCACATAGGTTGGGAATTGGTAGCCATGTTATTTTCCCTCATGCCCATGAAAAAGCAGATAAAATGACAGGCACGCCACAGATTTGAGAAACCTTTGGTTTGTGAAATCTGTGGCTTTTGATAGGAATGTAGCTACTACTGAAGTATCATTGCCTCTCTCTGCAGAATCTCTGAAACTAAATGCTGTATATTTTCCTTTTAAAAAGAAGGTGCTACTTTGCATGAGTTCTTACAGTAAAAATATGGCAAGGTTTATTCTACCAAACAGATGTATAAAAATGTATTTGGTAGAAGCAAAGGGAGGAAGCACTGTCAGGAGGTCTAAGTCTTATTCCTGGCTCTCCAGTGACTCACTGTGTGATCTGGAATGGCTCACTCAATTTCTCTGTGTCTCGTTTCTCCCATCTGTAAAATGGAGCTAAAAATACCTACCTCACAGGGGTGTTGTGAGGCTTTATTAATTAATTTTTGTAAAGTGCTTTGAGATCCTTGGATGAAAGGTGCTATGGAAAAGCCAATATGCTTCACGTTTGTAAGGGCAGTAATACAGGAACACACATATGTTCAGGTGGCTGAAGGAAGCTGATGCTTTAAAAAACTGCTGAAAAGTGTCCAGCTACCTAGTCTAACAGCACATCTTGATGTTTGTTATTTCCTATAGGATATGTAAAGAGCAACTTCCATGGTCAAAACCGTGGAGGAATTATACTTTGGCTCATCTACTCCCTACAAGCTACAAGATATCCAGTTTACCTCACACGTGCAGAAATGTTCAACACACTTAGAGAAACAGACACACAGATTCCAGCCAACAATTAAGTCTGCTCTATTGCCGAACCATCTGTAGACAGACACCACTTACATAAGACTAGATCATTCCTTAGAGGCACAGCAAGGCATAATAAGAGGGGAGGTACCCTCCCAGGAGATAACCAGGAGACCTCCTGGTTGGGCCAGGATGGGGGGAGCACAATCTGCAACTCCCCTTATGCATATTCCCTGTCCATGAAGCCAGCCAGCACATAGGAAGGATCAGAGTGATAGCTGGATCCACACGTACCCCACCCCACTCTTGCCCACTTGTACCTTGGAGAAACATTTTGATAGCAAACTATCTGCTTTCCCAGGTGTAACTTACAATTTTAGCCAGGTTGTGTAAACGGTGGGGTAAGGTGCCATACTCCCTCCCCACACAGCCATATAACAGCCAGTCAAGATCTCACCTATAATGTGTGGAGTCTTAATAAAATTCATATTATCATTAAACAGACAAAATATGAGGAACCGGTTAAAAGTTAAACTTTAGTAGCATAAAAATAATAATAGCATGGTAAGATTTTATACAGTTGAATCAAAGGGACGTTGTTTTGTATAAAGTAATTTTGCCTCATTGTTAAACTAAAATATTTCCAAAATCATGTTGACTAAAGCATATGGTAATTTGGGACTTGAACCTTCGGGGTGATGACCATTCTTGCCTGACCTAGCAAAGCACTTAAGTACGTAGCTTCAAAACTAAGCATATGCCTAAGAGCGCTGCTGGATCTGGCCAGAGTGCTGATAGCCCTGGAGAACTGTGTCTTGGACCAGATGATAGTGGTACATGCGTCTGTAGTTTTCCTCAAAAAAAAAAAAAAAAAAAAGTTACTGCATGGAATTAATTAATAAATGTTTCCCTAGAAACATAATTGTTTTTAAAGAAATATAAAGTAGAAGACAAATAGTAACTGAAGGATTAAAAGAGTTTATTCCCCTGTTTCCCTCATCAAAGATTCAAACATTACACTTTCTTCTTCTCCTCCACTTGCCCCTCCTCCTTCTTTTTTGGGTTGAATGGGCATGAGAGCTTAAATGGATAAAACCAAACTAACAGAATAAACAATATTAAAGTTAAGCTTTTACCCAGCTTCACAAGCACTCAAAAGAAATTTATGTCTTTACTCAGGAAATAAGTGATTCATATTTTGGCTTTGCACTATAATATAGGCAAAGTGCTGCACACTCATCCATTGGTAATCATCCATATGTCATTCAAGTCAAAACACCAACTCAGAATTCAAAGGTTCAAAAGGTGTTGTGTGGAACATTCAGTGCACACATGACCAGTTCTAATATGAATGAACTGAGAGAATATACATCTTCATGACCTGTCTTTCAATATGCTGTTAAACATACGCTGGCTTCACAACAGCTTTTGGAAGTTAAAGTCTTAGGCTTGAAGACATCAGCATTTTTCAGAGGTGTAGCTTACTGCCCCATTAATTGCTCTCACTGTTACTTCTTTCACCTCTGGTTGCCTGTCAGACACAACTGCAAGAAGTACTATGTGAAAGCAGTAGTTTCCACTGAATATTCTTCATACAGATGGTCCTGGGCCGTAATATTTCAGTAATGTGAGATTTGTTTATAAATTTCATTTTAAAATATGATCATTAGAGTATTAAACACATTTGATTTTCTTATTCCACAGACTAATTGTCTAACTTAACTACCTACTTCTATGCAAACACATAAAACGGAAATTTTTTAAATAGCTGAACTCTATCCCCAAGTTTTGCACTGAGAAAATCAAGTTCTGATGCACTTCAATTTTAGTGAACTGAAGCCATCAGAATTTTGGATATCACAAAAATAATAGACTTGTAAACTAAAATAATACCAAGATTGACAATAAAGATGGGTTTGATGACAATGACTTATCAGCTGAATATAACACACATCTTTGCTTGTTAATAATCCTCTATACTACACTTAATTAGCGAATGTAGTTTGCACAATATACTACCCTCGGATCTCTGCTCTTCCTTTCGTAGACACAACCTAATCCACTATGTATATCAGTTCTGCTGCTTAACTACAGCCTCCTCTCATCCCAGGATCCCCAAGCACTGTGTAGAATGAACACTAGCATGTGGCTGAAGTATTATATTTCTCACTGTTGAGCTTTGTATTTAAAATTCTGATTTATTCTTTTGTCCGCCAACCTGCAGAAAATATTTTCTTATGCCAAAAGCATGCCTGTCAGCAAATTTTAGTATATTAAATTCTCCTGCTACCTGAAATTTCCCACTATATTTTGTTTAACCCAAAGCACAAAGGTCACAGCTTAGAAATTGTTATATCTACAATTGTACCAAAATACATCCGAGTCCCTATGATGTTAGCTTATGCTGATGAGCCAGCTCTTGAGCTAGTGCAAATCAGCATAACTCCATTGATTGAACTGGCCCAGTGTGTCATTCTAATTACTAAATTGGGGAAGTCCTTTTTTAAAAAAAATGTGAGTTACTGTTACATATAAGTGCTTGCAGCAAATATTCAAAATGTTTGAGTAGCTGAGTGTCAAAATATATTTTATATTGTGTTTTTAGTCAATAACAATTGACTTATGTTTATTTAAGAACTTGTGATGGTGATGCACATTAACTTTTGAATTACCGTGAGATATATTCAAGGGTATCCCTGGTATCTCAGAGTGACTCAGTCTATTCACAAAGTTGCCCCTCTGTTACTCACTAGTTATTGGAGCAGAACTCAGTAAAACAGAGTTACTATGTGTCATCTTGTGATATTGTGATGTACAGGATAACAAGTCAACACAGGAGTTATCTAATGTGGCCTTTGTATAGACAAGACACTTTGGATTGAAGCCAATGTCATGTATGTAAGCGAATCTAAATTGGGGATAGTGTAACTACTTACACTTATATTGTACATACTGTTATTTCTACTTTTCTTTTATGTAATGATTATCTAACAGTTTTTTGCTTGTTCATAGTTTGCAATAGCTAAGCAATAGATTTTGAATTCTAGCTACGGGTGCACTTATTGAAATGTATTTGTACCTCTTTGTGTACTTGTCTTGACAGTTGTTTTTCATATAGCACTAATTGTGTATACGGTGCTTATATAAGAACCAATTCTCTTTTGGTGTACATTAATTAATTAAGAAAACAGACCCTATAATGCTCACTCCTTTGAAAAGATGGGAGTGAGGAAAGTTAAACCAACCTAAGAATATATAATAGTTTGAATAATATAATTATAAAATAATCCCAATAAAACTATAAATAAAGAAGTGAAAGGAGGAATAGAAGAATTTATGCCTTAATATTTTAGAAATAATGCCAATTAATAAAATTTTGTAAAAATTGTCTTTTTTCCTGCATAATTAATAGTTTATTATATGATAAATGAAAGAAATTAATGGTGTATAGAAAATATATAAAAATGCCCTTATGGGCTTTACTGATATTCATTTGCTTAATACCAGTGGTTTCTACTTACCTCAACATGGGTCCTAGTGTTCTAGAGCTACTGTATGATAAACAGTGTTTGACATGCAGTTTGTTTTCTGTCCATGCTATTGCAACAACAGTTCCAATTCTAGCCACTTTTTTCTTTTCTTTTCCTTTTTCTTTCTTTCTTTGTTTCTTTCTTTGTTTCTTTCTTTTTTTTATGCAGAAGATCATCAAATGAATTGTCACAATACTCGAATAATGCAAGACACAGAAAAAGATGATAACAATAATGATGAGTATGATAATTATGATGAACTGGTGGCCAAGTCATTGTTAAATCTTGGCAAAATTGCAGAGGATGCAGCATACAGAGCCAGGACAGAATCAGAAATGAACAGCAATACATCTAATAGTCTGGAAGATGATAGTGACAAAAATGAAAATATTGGTCGGAAAAGTGAGCTGAGTTTAGATTTAGACAGTGATGTTGTTAGGGAAACAGTGGACTCCCTTAAATTATTAGCACAAGGACATGGTGTAGTGCTTTCAGAAAACATTAACGACAGAAATTATGCAGACAATATTTCACAGCAAGATAACAGGAATATGAACTTTGTAATGCTAGGGAAGCCTATGAACAATGGACTTATGGAAAAAATGGTGGAGGAGAGTGATGAAGAGGTGTGTCTCAGCAGTTTGGAATGCTTAAGGAACCAGTGTTTTGATCTGGCTAGGAAACTCAGTGAGACGAACCCACAGGAAAGAAATCAGCAGCAAAATATGAATGCTCGTCAACATGTCAGGCAAGAAGATGACTTCCAAGGAAGAACGCCAGATCGGAATTACTCTGACATGATGAACTTAATGAGGCTTGAAGAACAGTTGAGTCCCAGATCTAGAACTTTTTCTAGCTGTGCAAAGGAGGATGGGTGTCATGAAAGAGATGATGATACCACCTCTATTACTTCAGACAGGTCTGAAGAAGTTTTTGATATGACAAAAGGTAACTTAACCCTGCTTGAGAAAGCTATTGCTTTGGAAACTGAGAGAGCAAAAGCCATGAGGGAAAAAATGGCAATGGAAGCTGGAAGGAGGGATAATATGAGATCATTTGAGGAGCAGCCTCCGCGACAACTTTCTGGGGATGACAGGAAGCCTAAATCCAGTGACGGCCATGTCAAAAAGCCATATTATGGTAAAGGTAATATTTCTATATACCGTATGTTGTGTCATGAAAAAGTGTGAGCTAACGTGATAATAAGTGATGCTTAGAACTCTAATGTGAAGTCATTGTTTATTTAATTTGTATGACTATGGCGTGATTCTAAAATAGCATCATGCTGTGATTACCTAATAGAACAACTCATTCTACAGTGTTAGAAACATGTACAGTATTTCAGTGCGATATCATTTGGCTAAATAGAAAAACATAACTTTTCAGGGAAACAAAACAAATAAGAGATCATGTTGAAAGAGGCAAAGATGATTCTAAAGGGTATTATGATTACAAATATGAGGAGAATTGCATTGCATACTCTATTGAATGGTGGGGATTTATGTAGCGGTTAGTCAATCAGCTATGAAGTGCATATTTTACAGATTGGATTGGGTAGGTGGCATCATGATTTATAAAATTATCATCAAATGACAGTTATTGATGAAGCCTCTCCCATCTAAAACGTAGAGTTGCCTGATAGAAATTGAACAGTATCAGAATGACCGATAACATAAGATAGGGGCAGTGACTGCACATTAATTATCTTAAGATACTAAGGTAATGGAAACCATTTGCTATGCAAGGCATAGTGTGGCCTGGGCTGAGATCAATAGCAATTTCTTTCTTATATGCATTCCACTTCACTGGTTTCATTCCATTGTGGAAACAGTTAAGGTGCTGCCTTAACCATAATTATATATATATATATATATATAAAGTTAATTTTTAAATATGTTTTAATTTAAAGAATTATCCTAGTAATGGTGTGTTAATATTAACATACCACTTTGTATGTGTCCACATATATGTGCATAAGGGCTCTGTCCTATACAGCATTCAATACCTCCCGAAATTGTTGAACACCCTGAATTCCTATTGACTTTAATGGAAGTTGAGGGCTCTGCATTTCTAAGGAGGTGTTAAGCATGTTGCTGGATTGGTTATATATTGTATTTCTTATAGAAACACCTGGTTTCATCTCTATAATTTAGACTGTGGGTTTGGGGTTGTGGGTTATTTTGTTTTTTCCATTATAAACCTCTGATTTCAAAGGGTGATAACATGGCCATAAAATCTGGCTGTGAGATTAAAGTTGGCACACCACATCTCAGATCAGGAGATTTTTGATTTTATAAACAAGTTTTAAGGGGGGACAATGGCCAGTCTCTTATAAGTTATACAAACAGGAACATGAAAGTTATTGGTTTCAGAAACTCATCTGCAATGTAGCTTAGACATTTTGTTTGCTTTCAGACACAAAAATTGTAGTCCACTGTATGAACTAGTAATGTTGGGTGTTTGGGGAAGACATTTTTTAAGTTTAGTTAAACAGTTATTCCATAGCCATGTGGATTTTTCTATTGTTTGCATGTGACACATACTAGGTGTATGTTCCCTTCTTAATGTGTGTATGTAACAAAACCAAACAGAACATGGCAAACCAGTGCTGACATCTTAAAATCCTTAAAACAGTGTTTTCCAGATCTGCCAAGCCACGAATGCTTAGGAAAACACATAAACATATATCTCTGCAGTTGCCAAAGAATTAATATAGTAGTAGTGGAAATATGGGCTTCTTATTTCAGTGATTTCTAGAGCTTCCCTGATGCCAACCTACTTCTAAGGAACTGCCTGATGAATTGGAGATAGGCCCAAACACAACCCTTGAATACAAAGAAAAGCCCTGAAATTTATGGTAGTTTGGATCAGGAAACTTTACAGCTGTGACCCTTCTCTCTTTTTCATAGAGGAAAGTCTGGAGGAGAGAGGGAGGAGAATGATTCCTTCCTCACTCTAGAGAAGATTGAGAAAAACAGAATATTGCAGTGAATTAGAGGGGGGATGAAAGAAAGGGAGTTATTTATGTCATTCATTCTCATGTCACATATAATCTCCCAAACATGCTTGCAAAAGTTCTCCAAGGAGATGAATGATACAATTAAAGGGAAATATTCTCAGGGTGGAGGTGTCGAGGAAGAATTGTAACTCCTGTCTTCTCTCTTCAGGAGCTCTGCTCCCAGAGATCACTGAAACAACAAAGGCATGGCAAGCCACATTTTTTTCTGCCATTTAAAATTTTCCAGAGACTCTTTCCTCCAAGACTGATGACTTTTAAAACCTTGTGACCCAGCTTGGACAAGCTTTGCTCAGGCAAAACTTCTACTATGGCAAGGATTGAGTGAGGATTTCAGGATTAGGCTCTTAAAAAAAATTAAAACAATAAAGTGGTATTCTCTATTGGAGGAAGGGATTCAATAAGAGAAGATCAGCTAGTCAAAATATTTATGCATTTATATTGAGAGGTGAATATAATCCTGAGCCCTAAGTTTTCTGCATAGTTGCATAGAGTTTTAGCTGGATGTCTTCTATTAAGTCAATGGGAAATTGTGCAAATAAAATTCCATGCAAGTTTCGGAAATGTAAGATTAGTGTGCAGCATCTTTTCTGACTTGCTAGACCATAAAGGCTCTTTTGGAGCTCATAAACCCTATTATTCTAAGGATTTGAAAACTCAGGAGAATTTGCATGACCAGCTCCTAAACTGGTCTAAATTCGCATTCCTCCATTGACTACTATAGAGCTACAGAGTTTACATCAGCTGAAGTTCTAGTCCATGGACTCTAGAGAAGCCATTATGGTCTATTGTGTTATTCATCTGCATTTTAATAGTCCTTGAATACTGGTATATTTACATTATACTTATTTTATTTATTTTTATTATTCACTTATCTAACACTTCCCCACATTTCAATGTGCTTTATACAAAGAGTTGTACAGAGTTGTGTGTGAGAATGAAAATGGGACTGGTGGTCTAGTGGTCTCAGCACAGGTATATGTGGCAGAAACTCCTTAGTTCTAATCCTACCTCTGATACTGACTCCTTCTATGCCCTTGCGTTTAACTGCTAAAACTCAATTTCCCAAAGTGTAAACTGGGGATAATGGTATTTACCTACTTCACAGGGGTTTTGTGATGTTTATATGACTGGACATACCTTTGAAGATGAAATTTTGTAAATAAATACATTTACCATTGAACAGCAGAAAACATAGTACTGTATGTTACACCTGACATACATGCAAACTAGAATAAAACATTAGCAATTAAAAAATGCATTTGTGACAGCTAAGTTTAAAGTGTGATCTTAAAAGTTAATATTGGAAATTAGGCCAGGAGAGCAATCACCATGTGGTAAAGAGTTTCTCATAAGCCAAGATGGTTGAGCAAGGGTTTGGAATTTAGAATATGCAACAACCACATGAGAATATAAAAATAAAAATCTGCAATTGAATGTGAACTGTAGGTAGTATGTACACTTTATCTACTAAAAAGAGATTGTACCCAAATCTCTAGAAGTACTTAAAGGGTCCCTTGATGTCACTGGGGTTGTACCTGCTCAACAAGGGCTGAATTTTACCATAAGACTTAATAGAAACCTAATAGCAAAACCTTATTTCCAAAGAAAAAAAGCATAAATCCTGCAGTGAAGAAATAACAGGAGCAGCATAAAATATATAAAAGATGATAGATCAGTTTGGGTTCTGAATTCAGAAGATTGACTGATGAACTAGAATAGGTGATGATGTTTGCTCTTAGCTATTAACTTAGAATAAGACAGAATCTTTGTAGCCAGAGTAGCATGAACCCTTTTTCTTAAATACTGGTGTATAAATCAGTTCTATTCGCCAAAATCGGGCAACAGTGTTAAAGATGATGTGGTGTAGCTTGTATTACGTGCTGAGTTGGAAGCCTTGGGATGTTACTTTACAAATGTTCTATTACAGGAAACAAACTGGTGAAATATGTGATCAAGTTCTAGTTCAGGAATAATTTCACCAGTAGTTCCATTACTTTCTTGGCAGAAAATAATAGTTTATTGAACAGAAGTCTCCTTAGGCCCTTTCGTTGACTTGTACACAAAGAAACAAACAGCATTATAGAAGTTTATTAATCTTTTAAGCTTATGAATAGACAAACTTTATAGATGCATGATTATAATGGCCCAAATTCAAGATAAGGGATTGTTACATCTGATTAGCTCTTTTACCCCATCATGGCTTATTGGAGGACAAAATGCTTTTATATGCTTTTGTATTCTACTACTTCATAAGGAATTTAGGGAAATCAGCGTCATCTGCTTAGAGTGAGTTTGAATAAGGATATATTTGTGCTGAATCTTTGAATCAGTATGCTAAGGAGCTGGGTCTGCTAACCTCAAGAGACTGAACTTCTATGACAGTACATTTGCAGGCTTCAATACATCAGGCGAAAAGAAAGGGGGGAACCATCTAACAGTTTCAGAGTGTCCTTACACTCTTAAGCTGATGCTTGCCAGCAGAACATTGATTGACAGTGGTGTGGCTTTGCTGTAAGAAGGTCACTACCCAATCACTATGATAAGTATTGCTGTGATCATAGGAGCCTGCAGTATGAAAAGAAGATAATGGGGGGGGGGATAAAAGTGACAAAATTGTTTTAAGAAGCAGCAGTTTTTTCTTCTAGTATTTTTAAGAACATTTACCAAAGAATAACTTACAACATTAAATGAACCTTCTTACAGAAATTTGGAAAGCATAATTCATTTGACACATTTGTTGTAAATTATAGATCCCTCAAGAACAGAAAAGAAAGAGAGCAAATGTCCTACCCCTGGGTGTGATGGAACTGGCCATGTAACGGGGCTTTACCCCCATCACCGCAGTTTGTCAGGATGCCCACACAAAGATAGGGTCCCTCCAGAAAGTAAGTCCACATTGTTTCATGGAAACTGGGGATAAAACTCCAAAGATTTTTCTAGCATGCTTTTTAAACCTTTTTTTATTTCCATTTTATGGTATGGTATGTCTCAGTTAAGCATCCTGTTCTGTGCTATAGTTTTTTTCTTTATTCCATCATTTTCATATCTCTAATAACTTTTAAACTAAAAAGAACAACTTTTAAAGCTGTATTCTTTGATTCTGAGAATGTTAGGTTATTTTTAACAGATGCATTCAATCTGCAGAGAAAGATTTTCAGAAACACGGCACTGCTTTTACTTCTGAGTGCTGATGTCACAGCATGACCTTCCCTGTTGTTTAGTGCAAAAACAATTGTGCTTTCAAGTTTGAAAAACTCACCACCCATTTTATTTGTGTATTTATTTATTTGGAGACATAATGAAGAAATTTACATTATAAAAAAGAGAGAGAGAGAGAGAGAGAGAGAGAATTTGGCCCTTTAGTAGTAATATCCAGGATTTTGAGCCATATTCTCTTGTCGTTTACATGGGTGCATCTTCCCTTAAAGTAAATGAATTCTGTGAGGACTGAAGTCAAAGGAAGTTGCACTTGTGTAGAAGAAAGGAGGATTTGGTCTTGAAAGTTTAAGCTAGATCCTCAGATGGTATAAATTGGTATAGTTCCACTCAAGCTAACTGAGCTGTGCTGATTTATACCAGCTGAGGATCTGGCTAGGGTCTGATTCTCTTTCTTACTTTCACTGGTGTAAAACGGGAGTTACATCATTGAATTCTGTGGGCCTGTCTCTCCATTGTCTTGCAAATTGAGGAGTAATTTATACCTGTGTAAATTAAAATGGGTGCAAAACCCATCCAAATCAGAAGGGCAACATTTGACACCCATTTAGGGTGACCAGACAGCAAGTGTGAAAAATCAGGACAGTGGGTGGGGGGTAATAGGAGCCTATATAAGAAAAAGACCCAACAATCTGGATTGTCCCTATAAATGGGGACATCTGGTCACCCTACACCCATTTTGCACAGGTGTCCAGAAGCGTCCATGCAGAAAAGAATCAGACCGAATGGAATTTCACTGGTATAAAACCCGTGCAAGTGAAAAGAGAATCAGGCCTCTAAGACTTACCCCTTAGCAGACTATGAGCCTGATTCACCACTGCAAAACTCCAGTTTTGCAATGGCATAAGTGTGTTGATGACAGTGCATTTACTGACATAAAACTGGAATAAGGCAGGTCTGAATTAGGCCCCAAATCTCCAAGAAAGATGTAGTCTGAGAAAGGGAAGCCAGACGTGTAGTAGCGCAGAGAGAGAGAGAGAGAGAGAGAGAGTCTAACACAAAGTCTTCTCTTCCGTAGCAGGGTTGTTCTTTCTAGAATTAAGATAATGAGGATGTACTTTAGGGAAGCTCACGGCATCTTGGTTGGTCTGTGAATACAGCAGATTAAACAAATTAATTTTTCCATTTTTGTAATTTGACCTGTAATTTTCTGAAGCACAAATATTTTCTCAGGTGCTCAAAGTTTTCTCTCGTTTTTTGTTAATGGTGAAAATAAAGCTCTGTTGTAAATCAAAGAAGAATATAGCTTTAAACTGTTTGCATGTTCCGTAGTTACTCAAATGAAAAAGGTGAGCTCAACTTTTTATTTATTTATTGAACTAATTTTCCTGTTATGCTGGCCTTGTGAAGCATGTTTCAAGAACAGCTTTGAATAGCAGGAATTTCAGAGTAAAGCTTTTGCATCTGCACACATTTTAATACACTGCCAGTGGTGGTGGTAATGGTGGTGATGATGATCTTTGAATCAGTCTCTATGGGTTAAATCCTCAAGTGTCTGCTTGGTTTTTATTCAATTCTTACTCAGCCAAAGCACTCGCTGATTTCAGCAGAGTTTGTCTGAGTGAGAACTAAACAATGACTACATCCCAAGTGAATAAAATGGGAGCTATTTGGAGGGGCTGAATGACCTAGTTCTGTGCATTAATGCACTAGCCATCCAGCTTTAGAGACATGGATTCAGATATGTCTCTTGTCATACAAAAGGAAAGGTCCCAGTCTAGTTCCTGTTTAATGTACCTCCATTTTACAAAACCTCTTGATAATCTGGCCCATTATAGCAAGAGTGTTGAAATTCAGAAGAGAATTGCCTTGAAAGAATTTGTGGGTAAATTTTGCACCCAACTTGCTTAAGCCAATCCTACCTATTCCTTACTCTCATGGTTAATCACTCCACCAGCCCTCAACTTTACAAAGTGCTTACTGCTTAGGAGTTTCTTTTCCATTTTTTTTTTCAATTTGCATCCTTATAATTTAAGATCTATCGAGAATTAAAATAAAGAGAAAGGGACCAATTCTGCCCTCATGCTTACATGTGTAGTAACTTCCATTGACTACAGCCATTTGACTGTGGGCAGAACTGGACCCTAGTAAAATTGAATTGACTTGCATAATTAGGGTCAAATTCTGCTCTCAGTTTTACTGATGTAAATCTGGAGTACCTCAATTTTTATTGGTATCACTGAGAGCAGATTTTGGCTCTCATACTTTATTATATCTGCATAAAACTGTATTACACAGTCACAATCCACACTTTATTACTGGGCTGTTCCCAATCCACCTGTTACTATTGAGCTGATCAGTGTTCAGCATTTATGTATGGAGAGGATGTTGGGAGTTTCCTGCTTCACCATCACACCAGAGACACATTCATTATTAGATTCTGTAATTTCCATAACTCTCACCGTACAGTGTTACCTGTGTTAATGAGCATAAGGTCACGACACCTCCTTCCCTCATCAGACTTTATTGGTTACGTGTATTTTGAGGAATGCTGGTCGTTAATGAATCCTGGTTGGTTTTTAAATGGTTTCATATATACTGGGACTTGATTTTTTTTTCTTGCTTTCATACGCTGCTGTTTTCTCTTACTCTCCTTGTCAAGTTCTTGCCATGCATGAAAATGTTCTTAAGTGTCCTACACCAGGCTGCACAGGTCGGGGCCACGTAAATAGCAACAGGAATTCTCACAGAAGGTAAGGAAGCCATCACTGGACTATAGTCTAGAGAGAACACTGCTTCAGAGCTGCAGCACTTCTGGCAGTCTGTTCTGAGAGTGTGTGTATATGTGTATGTGATTTTGTTCTTTTGTTTTAAAGATGGCAGATGGTGCTTAGTGTGCTTTATTTATTCATTTTGCATCATAAAATCCTTAAACTTATTTTACAATGTGAAGATATTCTGTACAGAATTAATTTGATTCATGTAAGATACTTTTTAAGCATCGCTTGCTTGTTTTTATTTATTTTTTTAACTTCACTAGAGTTGTATTAAAAGAAGCATATGACCCTTACATTGAAAGTAATAGAAGAAGGAAAAAGACTGTAAACACGATCAAGACCAGGACAGAGTAATGGTTCATATAATGTTCATCTTTACGAGTGATAACTCCATACTGCGTGAAAAATTCCACTCTAATCATAAGAACAATTTTGTATGAATAAATAAGAAAGAGCATTTCAAGTACATATATATTACACAATTTAAAGTTTTCTATCATCCATGGGCTCAACCTGAAGACCATATTTAGGCAAAAATTAATTAGAATTTTGCCTGAATAAGAAACAATATGGAAAAGTACTTTTGATTTTCAAGATGAGGAAAGCAATAGAATTAATAGAAATTATTCTAGAAACCTATAGAATTCCATAGAAAATGATACTTTTCTATAGAGTTTTTTAATCATCCTATAGAATGGACCTTATTTTCTGTTATATCCTAGGGATTATTTTTAAAAACCTATAGAAAAGTTATCATTTCTATTATATTTTATGACTTTTCCATAAGGAAATTGAGGTCTACGTTGTAGCTTCCAATAGCAAAACCCAGGGAAGGTAGGCAGAGATCACAGAAAACTACCCAAGGTTCCCATTACTAAGCTCCTTTTAACATTCACTGTAGCAAGATGGCTTAGGAGACCACAGAGGGTACTGGTGGTATAGTCCTCCACACTTACAGAGCTCTGGCTTCACCGAGAGTTCTTATCTCAGCTCCATGGATTCCCTTGCAGAGGACCAATCTCTTTGGAATGCTCTGTGGCACCTCCTTCTTCTCTGGAACTATGCAGCCATTGGATGCCTCCCACTAATGTCAAGCAGCAAAAGCTTCGAAAGGGACTCCATGGCAGCTAATGCTGCAACAGCACTAACTTCTGTTTGGATATCTGCTAGGATATCCCCGGTGTCTGAAGAGGAGCATGTCATTGGAGAGCAGCTGCCGCGGGCACTAATCTGAAACTGTGCAGAGCCCCCCAACCTTTCCCCCTGTGAAACTGAGACAGAGGGGTTTCCATTGGCACCCAGGGAGGAGTGGAGGGAGCATTCTGCTCACCTCTTTCTGCAGCTTTTGGGGCATTTTGCTCTGCTTTCTTTTTTTTTTTCCCTTCCTTCTTTTTTTCTTCTGTTGAGAGGGAAGCATCTGGGCCTGAATAAGATTTCAAGCTGAGCCCTTTTGAGAGGCACCTCTGTCTCTAGTTTAAAACACTGTGCCACAGAGTGCACTGATTTGCCTTTCACTTTAATTTCTTTTCCTGTGGAGAACACAAGGAGCTGCGGTCACATAAGCATGCAACAGACAATAACGAGAAAAAGACCCCTCTATTGTCAGGTCACAGGATTTTACAGATTCACTAAGAGCACCATCTGCTGGTACCAGGATATTTATTTTCCTCTGTTCTAAATCTTTTCCAGCAGAAGCAGACTTATTACTATCACTTCAAAAATAGTTCAGCATTTGTAAATTAGAGTTCAAGTCCAGATGTCTTGGTTCTTTTCATGTTATATTATCTGAGACTAGAACGACCTTTAGTGGTTTAACTTCATGAATAAACAGCAAGAAAATATATTTTTGATATAGGTTTTAGAGACACTCTGTCAAATTCTCCACTGATTTATACCCCTCACAACCTAATTGAAGTTAATGAGGCTGAATGAGGTGTGAAGCAGCACAAAATTTCATCTGTATTGTGTTGACATTGAATAATCTTCATCAACCATTTCAGTGACAAAATGTGTATGAACAAAAGGGCCAAGTTCTGCTAACAAAGCCGCACAGTAAATTTTGGCTTATATTCTCCTCTTCCTACCTGAATGCCTATTAACTGACATCCTTGAGAGTTCTGCCTATGTACAGTAGGAGGAGAAGAATATTGGATATGAGATCGTCCATGCAACTTTGAAAGCAGAATGTTGCTTCAAGGACAGGAAGTCTATTCTAGAGGAAAGGTATGACAGAAAAGGTTCTGGAAACTTTTTTCCTCCAGATTCTTCCTCGTGCTGACTAAGGAGGAGAAGGAGTAATTGGATCAGTGCTATAATGTGAAATTGCTCAGGAAAAGACAATTAAATTTCCTTTCTGTAATTGCAGCCTCTCTGGATGTCCTATTGCTGCAGCAGAGAAACTGGCTAAAGCTCAAGAGAAGCATCAGAGCTGTGATGTGTCAAAATCAAACCAGGCATCAGATCGGGTTTTAAGGTATTAGAAATCACTATAATACTTAATACTATGCAAAATTCATCACACATTAAGTTAATCTGAGCATTTATATTTATATACGTTGTATATACATATATATCTCCCTTAAAGAAGAGTTTAGAATTAGGGCTTCTGGATCCAATTTTCTCAGCATTATTTCCCAACAAATTTGCATGGGGGTGGGCTGGTAATTATTTTGGCAAATACATGTAAAGCCTGAAAAGCTCATTTTTGTCTTAGGCATTGTTTGGTGTAAAGCTGACTGCTGGAGTGCAAAGTCTAAGAACAGTGTGAAAAAAAGTTGGTATCTTTTGGGAATAAACTAATATTTACCGGTAAGTCTTGTTTTCTTCAGCAGGCTTTTACTAGTAAATATCAGTTTAAATGAAAACCAGAAGCCCTACTTGCAGTACTAAATTGGCAGCATACCTTTTTATGGAAAAAATACCTGATCTAGTTTAGGTTCCAAAAACACTTAAGGGTTAGTTCATTGTCTCTGTTTTGCTCCCTCCCCCACAGAAGGGATTAAAGGAATGGAAATACCATTCCATTGATTTAAAATTTGATGGAGGGAGGAGATTGAACTAATCTGGCATCATCACCCCCTCTCTCCATGCATTTGGGACTCAGCATTTATCCTATGCAGAATCCAGCTCTGCACTATTAAATGCACCTAGTGCTGGGCCAGATGTGGGCAGAGAAAACTGTGGCTTCTGGGGGAGCTGAGAGTTTAGGGAGCAGTGCAAAGGCATTGGACTTCAGCATGAATGTACCAGCCCTATATTGATGCCCCAAGAGCTGCAGAATTTCACCATGGATATTATGATATCTGTGGATTAGGACGGCCACATCCTTCCCTTCTCCCCGTGGGAGAATTTGAAGGACTTTCCACAACTTCCAGCACACAGAATTTCCTAGGCCTCCCATAAGTTTTCTCTCATCAGGTTATCATTTTGACCTAAATTTTGATAGGGTGACTTATAATGAATGTTTCTTACTGTTATCAACATCTTTCTTTTAATATTCTCTCAGTACTTCATCAAATCTTGATGGCATTTTCCAAACCCTTGTGTTCTTGTGGTTGAGAAAACAGAACGATGTCCTACATCAGGAAAGCTAACTGTTATGTAGTGAATTTGGATTTTTGTTTTCCTTTTCCCAAGTGTTTTCAGTGGCTTTATCTGGACCGGACCCAGTTCTGGTTTCACTTTTTTCAGACACTGTCCCTGATACTTTACTCAAAGATGGTGCTTTTAATAATAATAATAATAATAAAAAAATATCCATTCAACTAAATCATCAAATCTTCATTAGCACGATTACACAGGCCAAAAATGCAGTGGCTTTCACTGTTCTTTAGAGAGAAGTCACAGGAGTCAGATGCCATGTAGAGGAAGCTACTTTTCAAAAGCAGCATCTGGTTCTCTGGCAGGCTCCTTGGATAGTTGTTTTGGCAGTTTTGCTTTTGCCTCTGGGTCTGTCATGTGTTTCAGATCTTGTTAGGCAGTCTGAGTAAGACTGTCATCTCAGACACTACGTCCCTTTTACCTTTAACTCTTGGATCTATTTAAGATGAACATCCTAAGGGTTGTCTTATAAATTCCATGCACAATGATTGATTGGGAACTTTATGTGTTCCAAGTATAAATCCTGTGAACTGATCTTACACTTGTCTCCATCCCACCTGCATTCAAAATGTCTTCACTAATAAAAAAAGTCAAATTCGTAGGATTTTTGCTCTGCCAAAAATTTGGGTTTTGTTTTGAATGTGCACTATGTGAATTGTATTATTTTCTTAAATGAGCCTAAACTATATTGGGCTACACCAACTGAGGATCTGGCCCATTGTATTTTGTGAAAAGTGAAGAGAAATTTTCCGAAGGAACCCAACATACAAAAGAAAATCAAAGGGTATGGTATGAATTATATAATTTCTTGTGTAATTTACACCTCAATCTCTTGTCTAAATTCTATGAAAATGAATTCATCCAGAAATGCAAACTACTAAAAATATATTAGTATTTCGGGCTGTTTATTGTATTCCACTTCATCAGCCAGCTAGGCATGATGGCTCTTCTGCTTGTGACTAAATCAGTGTTCCCCTGAATGCCCCTTCCATTTCCTCATGTTATAATTGTGGGGGAAAGAAAAAGGGCTTGATCTTCTGAGGTACCAAGCACAAAAAAGTCTGCAGTTAATCACCCTAAACCTCTGTTAAAATCAGTGGGCTTTTAGGACGCTGAGCACCTCATAGGATTTGCTCTCTAGGGCCCAGTCATTCAACACTTTCTCACATGAGAATTTTAGATGGTACAGCCTAAGTCTGTATTAGCTTGCACTCCATCCCTTATGGTGCTGTGGGATCCGCCTATTGAGTGTGGTGTGTGGAGCAGCCCCAGGAGTCACACTTCCTGCCAAAGCCTTGCATGCAGGAGGCAGAAGGAGTCAGAGACACTGGATGACAGTTCAGAGGCAAGAGGGATTGTGTGGGTGCCTCTTGCGGATCTCCCACTGAACTGTATATTGAAGAGGCGGACCCCCAGCTTCTTTTGTGACAGGGCAAACCACATGCAAATAGAATAATAGAATCACAGAAGATTAGGGTTGGAAGAGACCTCAGGAGGTCATCTAGTCCAACTCCCTGCTCAAAGCAAAACCACCCCCAACTAAATCATCCCAGCCAGGGCTTTGTCAAGCTGGGCCTTAAAAACCTCTAAGGATGGAGATTCCACCACCTCCCTAGGTAACCCATTCCAGTGCTTCACCATCCTCCTAGTGAAATAGTGTTTCCTAATATCCAACCTAGACCTCCCCCACTGCAACTTGAGACCATTGCTGCTTGTTCTGTCATCTGCCACCACTGAGAACAATCTGGATCCATCCTCTTTGGAACCCCCCTTCAGGTAGTTGAAGGCTGCTATCAAATCCCCCCTCACTCTTCTCTTCTGCAGACTAAATACTGTCGACAGAATTCAAAGGAAGCTCCATGAGTTGAGTGGAGATCCTAGTGCTGTTTTTTACTTCCAGTAACTAGAGGAATTTGTCTAAAATTTCTACCCGTCTTTTTGTCCCTCTCTACTCCACCTTCCCAAAGAGAGTACATTATTATATAATGTAATTACACAGGGAAGGAGAAACCCTTAAGTATTTTTAAAAATAGAACTTTTCACCAATTATATTGTTTTTAGTCACAGAATACATTTAGCATTATTATAATTAATTTATCCTAGGCTTTGCTCAAGAAAATATATATTGTTTGTCTGCTGGAAACAACCAAACCAAACAAATACAATAATATATTGCTGTCTCTTGAGTGCAATAAATAACTCAGATTTTCTAATCTGAACTATAAATTATGCACAGACACAATAAACTGAACTGCATCTAACAAACTGTACATATCTTTAATTTCTAGGCCCATGTGCTTTGTTAAGCAATTGGAGATCCCTCAGTATGGCTACAGAAACAATGTCCCCACCACCACACCCCGCTCCAACTTGGCCAAGGAACTAGAGAAATACTCTAAGACTTCGTTTGAATATAACAGTTATGACAACCATGCCTATGGCAAGAGAGCCATAGCTCCCAAGGTGCAATCCAGGGATATATCCCCCAAAGGATATGATGGTAGGAGGTGCACACTCTTATACATGAGAGACAAGTTTGCAGTTAATAATGTTGTTGTATATGTAAACTTCATAAAAATAAGACATACCTTCATGTTCATACAGTATTAAGAGGAATGCTATTCACAGCATGACATTGTTATGTTTAAGTTATTTTTAAAGACTTTTTCTAAAAAGCATTATTTTATATGGTGCTTGCTGCAGGATTGTTGCACTGATAAGAGAACATCCTTAGCTATTCAGTTCTTGGGATGTACTGAGCCTGCAAAAAAACCTAGTAGAGCCAGTCCTTGTGGCACAGTAGCAGTGTATTATGCTGCCATTTGGGAGACTTGGCCGCATGGGTTGCATTAGGAATCTTGCTCTTGTACAGTAGTTTAGGAAACTCATAAATGTAATGTGCTTGCTCTCTGGGGATGGACCTCATTGCAGTTCAGCCCCCACTGATCGTCAATCAATTAAGGGCCCCTGCTCGCCTTATCCACATGATGATTCCTGTTGAATTCAGTGTGAGAACTCGTGTGAGTAAGATGATTGGGATTTGGCTGAAAGTGGCATTAAAACCTGTCTCTGAGGCTATTTCTCCTGGGCAGGAGAAACTGTGATGGTGGTGGCTGGCTGGCAGAGGAGAGGAGTTGGACCAAGGAACAAAACCCGCTAGGACCAAAGAATGAAGGGCTGGAGTTGTCACATTTGGGGATATTCCAGACCTAACAGAATAACATCACAACATTCCCTTCCTCTTTTTCTTATGCAACATGGAACAATTTATTTTCTAGATAAATTCATCTTACAAGTTAAAGTGCTTGGGATTCCTCACTGACTAGCCTATGAAATCCCAGATTTTGTTTAGTAAATTAGGAATAAGTGTGAGTTAGTGGAACAGTCTCTGCTCTTGCCTCAAAACAAACTCTGACTTAGAAAAGTAGATGAGTGGAAAAGGAGGAAATTGTAACAGCTGCTATCCCCATCTTTCCTATGTTTTTTGATAGGTAAGTTTTCCTATGAGATAAGTAAGCAGGTTGTCTCACACGAGTAGAGAGGGTGGAAAAAGGCAGACCTTTCTGAGTAAATGTGCCTTAAACTCTCCAGTACCCACCCTCAAAGTAACAACTTAATAGAGATAGATAGCTAAATTCTGATAAGTCAACAGGTTTGCACCAATAATTTTACCTATTATGTACATGCTCTGTTTACTCGCTAGAAAGTCTATGAATATGTGTAAGTTTAGTGATCATGTTCTCGGATGTTGGAGTAAACAGCAAGAATTCATCCTGTTTGAGGCCCCATTTAACAAAGCATTCAAGCACGTGCCTAACTCTTATTGAAGTGAATAGGACCTAAGAACATGGTTAAAGCTAAGCACATACTTAATGCTTTTGCTGAATTAGGCCCTAAATGATGAAGGATGATAGGGAATTACTCTACTATCTACATATACCAGTGGTTCTCAACCTATTGACCATTGTGGGCCACATATGCAGCTCTCTGTGTGTTATGTGGGCGGCATCCACACTATATCATAGAATCATAGAATCATAGAATATCAGGGTTGGAAGGGACCTCAAGAGGTCATCTAGTCCAACCCCCTGCTCAAAGCAGGACCAATTCCCAACTAAATCATCCCAGCCAGGGCTTTGTCAAGCCGGGCCTTAAAAATCTCCAAGGAAGCAGACTCCACCACCTCCCTAGGTAATGCATTCCAGTGCTTCACCACCCTCCTAGTGAAATAGTGTTTCCTAATATCCAACCTGGACCTCCCCCACTGCAACTTGAGACCATTGCTCCTTGTTCTGTCATCTGCCACCACTGAGAACAGCCGAGCTCCATCCTCTTTGGAACCCCCCTTCAGGTAGTTGAAGGCTGCTATCAAATCCCCCCTCATTCTTCTCTTCTGGAGACTAAACAATCCCAGTTCCCTCAGCCTCTCCTCATAAGTCATGTGCTCCAGACCCCTAATCATTTTTGTTGCCCTCCGCTGGACTCTATATATTATATTACTTATATGGCCCTGAGGATGTCACATGGGCCGCAGCTGTGTGCTGATTGGGCCTCAAGTGGCCCATGGGCCGCAGGTTGAGAACCATTGGCATATACACTTATCTCCCATTGATGTAAATGAGAGATACCTATACCTCGGGATAAAACCCCTTTGTCCTTGAAATAGTATTGAAGCGAGCTTGCTTTGGATGTCAACATCTCCACCAACGAATGAGTAAGGAGTGATGGTAACACTTTTAGGAACGTGTGGCTCGGTAAATTTCTTCTCCCCCACCCCAAAGTGGAATAGGATGTTGTCATTCCTAATGGGCTTACATACTTGCTGGGTGAAAAGCTGGTATTGTGTGTGCATGTGGCTGTAAGTATAAAAACATGGGGTGAAATATGGGGTGAATTTTTGGCCCCACTGAAATCAGTGGGTGGTTTGTCATTGACTTCAATGGGGTCAGAATTTCCCCCACGGTTAAAACTAAAGTTCTATGGCCTTAGTTATTACGGGCATGAAAGGGAAGCAGCGATAACTTGCCAATCTCAGGAAAAGATCTCTTCCTTAAGAAATGTTTTTCCTTAAGGAACTTTGCAGTCTCTAGAGCAGAGCTGGGCAATTTATTTTTCAGTGAGTAGTAAATTCACCTAAAAATGCATTTTTCAGGTCACAACAACTATGCACAAATTTAGGCTGAAAATGGTAAATAGTTTCTACTGAAAAAAATTAGGAAAAAAGAACATCAAAAATGTCAAAGCAGTTCATTTTTGGCCATTTTGAAGTGAAATGTTTTGTCTTTGTTTTGAAAACATTTTGTTTTGACTTTTCATTTCAAAATGGCATTTTGGAATAAATATTCAGCAATGGGCTTTTCAGTCTAGCAGAGCAAGGTATGACACGATCCAATGGCTGGAAGTTGAAGCATGACAAATTCAGACAGGAAATAAGGCATACGTTTTCAACAGTGAGGGTAATTAACAATTGGAACAATTTCCAAGAATTGTTGTAGTTTCTCCAATTGGCAATTTTTAAATCAAGAGTGGATGTTTTTCTAAAAGATCTGCTCTAGGAATTGTTTTGGAAAAGTCCTATGGCCTGTGTTATACCAGAAGTCAGATTAGATTATCACAATGGTTCCTTCTGGCCTTTGAATCTATAAATGTTAGAAATTTAGCTTTAAAAATAAAAAAAGGTGAAAAACCCCCAAACCCAAAATGAAACATTAAAATGAAAGATGATGGCAAACTAGTCTGCTGTCTATATACACACTAATCTCCCATTAATCTGAATAGAAGTTACCTGTATGTTTGAAGGGGGAATACGCCCTTCCCCCCCCCATTCAAATAGCATTGAGGCTAGCTTGGGAGGTCTATGGTATGAACCCACTGTGTATATTAGGGAAGAAATTTTTGTTTTGAAGAGGTGTTATATGTAAACTTAGTGGAGACTGGTAATTAATCAAAGGTTCATTCTGTCAAACACTCTAAGAGGAAAACAGAAATACATATAGCATTAAGGGTCTGAAAAATGAATCACTTGATGTTTGAATCTTTTAATTTTGAGGCAGCACCATGCATTGTGTCACAGACCATCAGGAAAATGTCACAGGGCTGATATATTCAGCAAATAAATGGTTGTGAGTTGTATGGACTGTGTTCTTTTTTGTGTGTGTAAGCTTTACTAATAATTACACAGGGAGAGGACTCTGTATGTTGTAGGCTATGATGCCCTGATGATGCTACAGGGGGGTCATCTTATAAGGAAGAGGGTTTGTTTGTTTGGCTTTATTTTCCCTTTAGGGACAACGTCATAATGGGCTACAATATGGGCTTATTTTATATGGCAGTAATGATGAAAATAGCTGGACCCAGTGTCCAGAGGAGTTCACAGGGTTCTGCAGTTGGGAGCTGCTCGTGCTCAGGGATAGTGGAAAGCTTGTGCAAATTTGTTCCTCTCCCCACAAGTTGTCTAGCAGTCCTCCCTGAATTCTCACCATCTCACTCCCTTGCACTGGGGCTGCACAGTCCCTGAAGAGCTCCTATGGGGTTCAGAAAAAGTGTTGGAGCTGTGATTAACTTAAACAATAAAACTGGTACCAAGGCTGCTGGTGCTGGGGATAGAGGATGCTGGAACTGGGCCTCATTCTCTCATCAACCCCGTTTGTTTGGAAAGGACTGCATACCTTAATTTTGATGGGGCAGCTGCCACTCCCTAGCTTACTTAGCTAGGGAGGAGCCTTTAGGATATTAGAGAAGCACTGACCCCACTGTCATCATCCCTTATGTCGTTCATCAGGGGAAAGTCAGAATCTTGGAAATGCCTCTCTTGGAAATGGAGCTGGTTGAAGCGGCTGCCTGAGAGCTATGTGGCTGTCATTGATGAAAGAGATTGCTTTCTGCTTTCTGGTTTGCCACTCGGCCACAAAGCATAGTTGGATTACAGAGGTCCCAGCGACCCTGCACCACAGCAATGCACCAAATCACAGTTTGGCCCAAAAGCAGAACTGCAACGTGTTTTATTTTGTATTCAGACAATGTCACTACCGTTCCCCTTCTCTGCAGATGGATTTCACTCTATCTTAATTCACTATAAACAAGAGTCCTGAATTTCTTTTTCAAAACTAATGTGAGGTAGATAATCCAGGCTGCATGAAATGTTTAAAAACTGTACAGTGAAGGTCAAGCTAAAATGACCACAGCCGTTCACATATACTTAATACATATATAATGCTTTTCACCTTCAAAGTGTTCCACAAACAATCATTTATTAATCTTCACAACACGCCTAAGATTAAATATTGTGATTGCCTTTCTATTAATGGGGAAAATGAAGCAGAAAGATGATGTGATTTGATCAAGGCCACAGAGGGAGTCTGTGTCAGATCCTGGAAGAGTTTCTTGTGGCTGATCCTATGTTGAAAGCTCTTTATTATTCCTTCCTGCTTTCCTCCCCATCTCTCTCTCATTCTCTGTATTGATATAGATATATAAAATGTCTTATATTATCTCATATTTAATTTAATTTTAATCAACTCTCAAATGTCTAATATGGCTGCATTTTTGTTTTGCAAGTGATAAAAAAGGCATGTTATTCATTTATTTGAAATATAGTCCTAATTTTGCAAATTACGTGTGCAAAGTGGTTGCTGTTAAAAAGTCAACACTTACTATGTCAACACCGTGGTAACTGAGATACTGTACTTATTTCCTATTGTAAGTTAGAGAATTAGTTGAGTATCTTGGCTACCAGAATGTAGCAACCATGGATAAATGCTCAGTTTTTAGTGACCAATATTGATTACTATTTTTTAAGAATGAAATTTGGTGTAAAAGATGTCATGGGAAATAACTCACAGGATTATTATCTGTGAATGTGCAGAAAACAACAGTGATCCACACCTGTGTATTATATGGGTTTCCTGAGAAAACTCCTGCATCTGCTAAGAATTAAGCATTTTATTTCACTTACAGTAAACAATGACTTCATTAACTTTTCCAAAAATGTACAAATGAAAGGGATGACGTAAGGAGTATAAGATAAATTCTGCATCAGACTCTCCTGTTCTGCTTTTCCAGGCAGAATGTAGTCCATAAAGAGGCTGTGCTCAAGGGAGCAGATTACTGCATGTATGTCTGCCGCAACACACCTGAAGAGGTTGGCAAAAATTGAAACTGTGGAGAAAGAGCTCTAACTAGTGTGTTGACCCTTTATCTAGGGCCTTTATATAGGACCCTCTGTCCAGCAATTACGCATATATTCTATAGCACAATGACATGGCATTGCAACACTTTTATTATATTGTTCAGTATGATCTTTGCAGAATATAGAACTCGATCTGAAAGGGGAGAAATCACTATACCATGAATGCATGTACGTGTAACTGCTGACATTGACTTCTAGTGTTTGGGCTATATGAAAACGTAGCAGCACTCTGGGTTCAATAGACCAGGGATTCTCAAACTGGGGGTCGGGACCCCTCAGGGGCTCGCAGGTTATTCCATGGGGGATCGCAAGTGTCAGCCTTCACCCCAAAGCCTGCTTTGCCTCTAGCATTTATAATGGTGTTAAATATATTAAAAAGTGTTTTTAATGTATAAGGGGGGTCGCACTCAGAGGCTTGCTATATGAAAGGGTGCACCAGTACAAAAGTTTGAGACCCACTGTAATAGACCAACTGACATTTTTTTCTCAGTCATTTATTAAAAAAAAAAATCTGAGCCATTTATTTTGGGCCAGGAGTGGGTTTGGGTTTTTTAATTCCTTTGGCTATAAAATGTTAATATTCATTTTTTTTAAAAAGCCAACAATATTGTCATGTTCTGTTTAAAGAAGAGAGGACTGAATTGTCCAGGCTTAAGCCTGATGTAGTGCTGTAGTTCTTTCTTGAGCATCCATAGAGCCTTACAGTGTGTGTCAGTCATTATATAGTTAAATACACCCTTGTAGCCTAATTATCAGAGGTGCTGAGTGTACACAACTCCTGTTGTTTTCAACGGGAAGCTTTTGGTGCTCAGCACCTCTAAAAATCACACCGTTGAACTCATTTTTTTTCTGTTTATATTACATTTGCTTTAGCCTGTGAGGGCCCCTCATCCAGATTTGGACAATGCCTGCCCCTTCATTCTATGGCCACCTTTTTTTTTCCATTTACTCCTCCTCCTTTCCCTGCTAATGACCAGCACAGTACTTGCCCTTATTGCAGAATGGAGGAACACTTTGGTCAATCTGAGATTACCAAGGACATATGGTTAGCACTCTGGCCCAGAGATCAAGCACATTATCTTCCCAATGAGCTTGATCCCCACTAGCTCCAGGAAGTGGGATTCATAAGATCTGTTGTGAATCTGGAGTTAGCCCAATTTGCTGGTGCAATACCACTAAAGTGTCCTTAACAAAAGTGAATGACCCAAACAGTTCTCAGTCCCCATACAAATAGGTAATCAGCTCTTACTATGGAATGAAAGCAGTGTTTCCCTGTGCCTTTGTTGGAATTTCATGCACAGTGTTTGTTTGCTAAATCTCGCCTGTTTGTCACTACGGTATATAGTCACATCCTCCGGATTTATTTTTAATGGTATGTTTAATACACACCCAATTACTTGTGTAAAGGACTCACACACAAAATCATAAAATACCTGCATCATTTCTGTTGCCTTTTTTTAATCAGTCACTGTTGCTCATTATAAAATTCACCCACAGTAGATTGTTTTTCTTGTCATTTATGTAATGTGCTAGTACTTTTGAGTCATCCTTGTCATATTTCTTCCCACAGCTAAACGTTATTGTAAGAATTCAAGCCCAACCAGCAGCACAACAAGCAGTTATGCCCCTAGCAGCAGCAGCAATATGAGTTGTGGTGGAGGCAGCAGTGCCAGCAGTACCTGCAGCAAGAGCAGCTTTGACTATACTCATGACATGGAGGCAGCACACATGGCTGCCACTGCTATTCTGAATCTCTCCACTCGCTGCAGGGAGATGCCTCAGAACCTCTCCACTAAACCTCAGGATCTCTGTGCCCGGGTAAAAATTAGCAATTATGTTTGTTGATGATGATACAAACCTCTTTACTGCACTAGATTTGTGCCCTGATAGGTTCAAGAGTAGCTTTAATGCCTCTTGCTTAATCTTTTTCTCAGAATGAACAAAAATGTGGCAGTTCTGCTAAGGCAGCAAAATAAAAGATAAAGATGCAAATTACTCATCAGTAACTCTTGAAATCCAGATCAGTGCTTAGAGTTAAAATGGTGCTGATAAAATGTGTTGTTCTCTGTTTTAATCCTTCTCTTACTGATGGGGTCTATAGTAACTATGGAAGCTATTTAGGTTGCTTAAGTGGTATTAATTGCACTATAGAATTTTTACTAACACTATCTGATTTATAATTGTAAGAAAGAGGATGGTTTAATACTGTAACTTCATGTATAAATCACACATGGGCCCTAAGGTTTTATGATCTTGTACAAAGAAAATTTGTAGTATTGTACACAATATTGTCTTACCTATCCAGAATATAATTGTTCTCAAATAGATGTATAATATGTTTGAAACAAACAAAAAATCCTCCAGTGCAGATAACTTTTAAGTTGCATAACAGTAATAATGCAGTATCACCAATGCTCTATAAAGTGTTAGTAAATTCTCAATGTATTATTAAATGGCAACACTAAAACAAATAAAAAGGTTTTGATGTTAACCTTTATAAACAGTAGCATTATTAAAATTCATCCAAATTGTAAAACTTTTATAAGAACCTTTTGCTTTTGTTATAACCAGATTAAATCTTGACTCTGACATCTGAGGAGAAATGACTACCGGTATTTAAAATACACCAGCAACCAATAAAGTGCTACCTATAGGAGGCCACTAGATGGCTAAATAGACAGATGCAGTGCAGGGGGAACAGTTTTATTGTGCTTATAGAAGAGCTTTTGAGCTGGCAGACATGTTCTGCTCTTCTCCAGATAAACAAAGGGTTTTTTTTCCTGTTGTGTAAAGCTTCTTGATCATACATAATGAGCTAACAATCTTACCCGTAGTTATTAGTAATGATCTTAATTTATATGAATTCAGTAAGGTTAGTAATTTTGTTTTCAAATGCTTCCTTTTATATTAATTGATTTAATCCTATAGATGAGGGAAATCTCTTTGTGGCATGCAAAATAAATGTATTGTGCTCAGTACCAACAGGAATTGAAAAAGTTTGAGCAATAACCTTAAAAATATTATATGGCAAAAAAAATGTAATAACAAATCTGGGAAGATAAATACATTATCAAGCCTAAATTAATATCAGGGCAATAATCAGGAATAAACTATGGCAAAAAGTGTTTGTGTAGAATAATACTGTATAATCTATCAAGGCAATAACCAAAGAAAGGGATTTTCATTAAGTGTCTTGCTGCTGTTCTGTTATTACCTCAAGAGGAAAGAGAGCTGCTAGACATCAGAGTAGACGGTAGCATTCACAGCAGTTTTGAAATCTAATTTCTGGTGAAGTGTTTTACTCTTGAAAAATTAAGGATTGGTTGGGTATTTTGCTTCCCTCCCTCCCATCTAAATGCCCTCCCACTCCCTGGGGAAAAGAAAGAAGAAGAGGAAGATGATTTGAAGCGAATAATTCTTGATCTATTTTCAAGCCAAAAACAAAAATCCCAAACCTACTCACCCTATACTTCACAGTTCCTCTGTCACTGCAGGGAATGTCAGTACCAGCTGTGTTACCCAAGCCAGCTGATTATATAGATAGTCTTTGGAAAGTTAAGATATATTAAACCTTAACATCTGTGATGGAGGAACTGTGAGATTTGGATGCATTTTCTCATAATATGAAGGTAGCAAACACAGTGTAAACCGACTTGCTTTAGTAACCAAAGCTCTTTTTTTCTAATTCTTTACCTGTTATTGTTAAAAGAGCAAAGTATTCTGCTTTTTTTGATGCAACTTGCTATCTGGTTTTTATTGCTCTAATCATATAAGCAGGTGCTGGAAGGACTGGAAGTAGGCAGAATCATATAGATGTTAACTCTGTTAGACTAACCTGCCAAAGAGTAAATCAGGGACATAATCACAGCAACAACATACCTTTGGGGATTTCTCATTTCACTGTCAAATTTTACACCTGTGTTTTGGGAGGATGGTTGTGGTTAGTGGGAAGTCTCCCCTTTTCTTCCAAATATCAGATTAGCCTTTTATGAAGATATGAGTGAATCTACTTTAACAGCATTAATGTTGTGTAACAGAATCATGCTACGTGTGGGAGGGGGCTTAATGCTTACAATCTATATAGGCATGATAAAGCCTTTTATCATTCTACTAAGCAATCAGATTAAAAAACACAGAGAGGTGACATTTTGATAGTCAAAAGCTGAATTAACAATATTTTTCTTATTTTGACAGAATCCTGATATGGAAGTAGATGAAAATGGAACCTTGGATCTAAGCATGAACAAACAGAGACAGCGAGATGGTTGCTGTACCATTTTGACACCACTGGAGCCAATGTCACCACAACGACAAGCTGTGATGAATAACCGGTGTTACCAGCTGAATGAGAGTGACTGCTGGGACTTGCCAGTGGACTACACTAAAATGAAGCCCAGAAGGATAGATGAAGATGATTCCAAAGAAATTAATGTATGTCTTTTTCATCTAAGGGTTCTGATTGCAATCTGACTGTTTTAATTCATTAGATTTCTAAAATCTGAAAGGGAAGAGGAAACACCATGTGTAGGTAATAAACAAAATATGGATGGTTTCCTGACAAGAGGACACTCTGGTGGTTAATCTTTCAAAATATATCATGTTGGCACACATCTGATCTGTGACTAACTTCCATCCGACAACATTTGAACCATGAATGTGAATCATGTTTTCTAACAGCACTGTCTTGTTAACAAATATTTTCTTCTGTGAAGATGTTCTAATTTTCCAAATCTACCTTATTCCATCTGAGCAAGTTGACATAACTTTTTTCAATGTTGGTATCAAGTTTTTACCAGCTTTCCGAACAAGATACTCTTCTCAGATTAAGATTCAAAAGTGAAGGACTGAATATTTAAAAGTGTGTTTATACACACAGATCTACTTAAGAAGCACGAACAGAGTACAGTATAAGTTTTCCATTAATTTAGCTAACCAGGATTTTGTTGTCAAAAGGCCTGCTCCTACATTCCTTGTGCATTCAGGAAAGTAGGAGCACCACGCTTTGGGTGTGCAAGGGATACACAATAGGGCCTTTATACCATTGCAATGAAATATTTTATTTCAAGAGTATTATGAAGAAATATGAGGTGTAATACACTCTAAAAACCTGTAAACAGAAAGAGGTAAATAAAGAAAACTTGCTCCATAGTGAATTTATTTTAAATTTCAAAGCTTGTAACATGTAGCAAGTGTTTTCACTCTGAAAGGGTGGTCCTGACAGTTGTCAGACGGCTGCTTTGGGGGGCAGGGTGAGTTGCTGGGAGGCTACTGTTTGTATTTGTCAGGTTTCAACTCTAGCTCACTAGCCTGTTTGCCATATTTATCCCATTGTAATCTAGACATGATTTTACAATCCCAGACTTTGTATAGCAATATCTTTTCTCTTGCTATATCTACATTATAAGATTAGAATTCTTATCAACCGTGTGTAGCAATATCTCTCTCCAACTTATTTTAATTAAAATATAGGATGGCATGATTTAAAAAATGAATGTAGAGACATGCAATAAAGTGCTATTTGCTTTATATACATTGGGTGCAATCCTAGCTCTGCTAAAATCAATCCGGGCTTTGCCATTGACTTGGTTGGGGCCAGGATTTCTCTCATTATCTAAGAAATGGGAGATATTAAATACAGAATAACACATTGACTGAAACAAGCAGAATCGTTCTTTAATTCTGTTGCTCACAGCACCATCTGCAGGAGTTTCTGCATCAGTGCTTTCTGCCATGTTTTTTTCACTTCTGAAATTAATGCTTAAGTTTCAAATATAAAAAGGCTAAATCCATCAGTAAATTTAATTACAAAATTATATTTTGCCAGGCAGATCCATTGAGGTTTGCCTCAGATTGTGACACTACATGTGTGTTTAGCAATTGGCTGCTAACATCATTCCTGATTCATTTTTCGGGAGAATGCTTAACTATTTACAAATGTTATTGAAGTTGGCATTTTGATAGATACTATATTTAGGCTTTGTTTTTCTGTGGCTGTGGTTTGTAAAAACTTGTGACTTTGGAAAAAGTATTGATTCTTGTGAAAGAGAATAGTAGTTGACTTTCAGAGGCAGCTGCTGATACCATTGGGAATAGACACTATACAAGAGAGAATATCTGACTTTTGCATCGTTCTCCTCAATAAATAATCTAATTCTTTTTCACGTATTCTAACGTGTGCATTGAAATGTAAAGGTACTATATAAAGGTCTAGCAGGTGAGAAAAAAGGTAAAATAATGTCAACATTTTTCTGATTGAGTGGGAGTAATGGAGGCGATATGTCTGATATGTACATAGCATTATTTTTTGTGTATATTGCAGCCTCACCTAAGTGGGACTAATACCTATATGTTTGCCTGCAGCCAGAAGACTTGGATCCTTTCCAAGAGGCACTTGAAGAACGAAGGTATCCTGGTGAAGTTACAATCCCAAGCCCTAAACCCAAATACCCTCAATGCAAAGAGAGCAAAAAGGATTTAATAACGTAAGCATAATGTGAGGTGAAATTATTTTTTCTCCTTTTAACCTTTTCTCTTTGTCTTTTTTAAACAAACAAGTACATATACGCCTTGCAGTATGAGCATGCGACATTTGCAGCATATAAATGTTTCCAACTGCCAGTTAAGTAAAGTGATAAGCTAACATGTATTTGCTTGTTCTTAATGATGCTATATTGTACTGAGACACCATTTTCATTTAATGCTGTTCATTTTTCAGCTTTTTGATAGGATGCTTAAATCCCCTTGCAGTCATTGCAGCTAAACTGGAAACAATGAAACTTTTAAAAGTTTTTTTTTTTATTTTTTTAAACATACTTACTATTTTGGCTGTTTTTGTTTTTGTTTGGTGGCAGATGTCCAACACCAGGGTGTGATGGGAGTGGTCATGTGACTGGTAATTACGCCTCACATAGAAGGTGTGACTTCATTTTTTTCATGGTGGATTCTGTCTTTTCAATTTATTGTTTTCAGCTTACCTCAACAATGCTGTCAAAGTAAAAATGTTGAACTATGTGTTAACCCTTTGAGTAATATATGTTGATATTAAAAGCATGCTAATTTGTGTGTTGTATAAACGTCTTTTATTTTTAAATAGATTACTAAAATTTCCAAAGTTTTCTTAAGCTTTTTGAGTAGTTAACCCAGGGATCACAAATATTTTTGTTACATTTTACTACTTTGTAAAAACAAAAAAAGTTCATTTACATTATGTAGTACTGGAAGTAAAATTTATATCTAAATATATTCAGAGGGTTAACTATATTACAAAATTCAATATTACAGCACTTGCCCCATCGCTTTTCTGCATTACAATTTTTAATTTTTATTTTTTATGTTGTGATTGTTTGGGAGAGTTTAGCTTTTAAGGAGGTTAACTTACTTGGATATCCTGCCATGTCTTACAGTCTGTCTGGCTGCCCCTTGGCTGACAAAAGCATTCGAAGTATGCTGGCCACAAGCTCACAAGAACTCAAGTAAGATATAAACAAAATCATTCTGTTTACATATTTATTTGCTCAGCAAGCGCATATAATTATGACAGACTCTAGATATGCTATTTGGAAAAGTACTAGCTAATGTATAGGAACTGACCCATGCTTGGAATTTCCACTGAAATCAATAGGAGAACCATGCAGTGATTGGGCCTATAAATAAGTCTATTTCTTTGTTATTTTCTTTGTGCATAGAGTACACGTTAAGGATGGGCAACTTCAGAAATTTTGCAGTCCCAGTCTGGACAAGCATCCAAATTTTGGAATCCCTACTCAAAGTTTATCTAAGCTATCTAAGTCTCTTGAAGTTATCAGTCTGAGCTGGAAATATCAAGAGAATAGATTGATGAGACTAGTCTGATTCCAAAATTGGCAAAGCAATTATCTGACTATTTCAGAACTTCAAGGAAGGTTTATTTCCAAAAAAGAATTAAAGGTCCATGCTTAGGTGTAAGGAGGAGGTAGGCGATTTTTTATGGAATCTGAACCAGTTCGCCTATCCCTAATTCATGTATTGTTCTCTCCAGGTTTGTATCCCTATTATCAGCCTAATGCATTGCCTCATTTAACTACCTTTTCTAGAGTTTTCTTTGCTATTCCTATGCATTTTTTCTTTCTACAAAGTAATGATTTCCTTTCAATACTTCAGAGTGAAAATTGTAAGCAATAGACATTAGTTTATTAAAGTATTATGTTGAATTATTCAATTAAAATATGAAGAAAATCCTGTAGTTTTGTCTATGCTGAAATAGGATCAATTTTAATATTGGCAGCAATTAAACATATTTATATATGATTAGTTACTCTATTCTGATTTTTTTTTAAATGAAAAATCTAGGTTATACAAATGCTCTTTGTGGTTGTAGTGAGAAGTCCTACCAAGAATTCTGTAACCTCCTTCAAAAATGTGCATGTTCTGTTTTGGTCAAGCAGTACTACAGGTCAAAACTTACTCTTCTCCTGCAGCCAGACCTTTGCCTAAAACTATGCACATGGAAAGGCTGCAGGATTGGATAATCATGTGGCATTCCTCAACATACCCCAAATACATAGTACAGAGGGACAGATATTTAAAAGTAAGACGGCAAGGATGGGAAGGGACAGCATGAACAAATACTTGGTGATGATTCCTGACCATGCTGAGGAGTATTCCAAACATGATTGGGCAGGGAGCTACCTTTGCTGCCATGACTAGCATTTTCTTGAGATTCATACATGCATTGTTGGGAGAACAGACCCTAAAGCCTAGGAAATGTTTCAGAAAGTCAGCTGCTAAGACAGATTGTTCTCTAGATTTGTCTAACATAGTGAGTTCTCATAAGGGGTAAGAAACTCACTTTGCCTAATTTCAAATCCACTCCAAATTCACAGGTTTGAATGCTCAACTCAAACATTTGGGATCCCATTCCACTTAAAGACTGTGAGATGCGTGGGGGCAGGGAGGGGCCATGTAGGGAAAAAGTCAAATGAAAGCAGAGAGTGAGAAATAGAGTAAAGTGAGGGCAGACTGATTCTTGGGCTCAGAACCACATGGTGAGTGTGCAGGAGGCTATCTGCAGCCATAGTGGTTGGAGGCATCATGCCTGCATAAGGCAAGCACAGACAGGATGACTGTTGGGGGAACAGGGACAGTGTGTTTACTAAAGGTTCTTGCTGCTGCTTTAGAAAAGGTGCAACATACAGAGACCCCACTTGTGTTTGTGTCGCATTAATTACAACACTACGAAGAAGCTCCTTCTTATACCCTATTGCCTCTTCTTCCCTCCCAAGCATCCCAGTCTACTTGCCCAGCAAGTTTTAATCTCACCCTTCCAGTCCTCCAGTTCCCTCCACCCCTGGCTTTTTGTCTGATCTGTCTCTCTTCCTGTCCTGGCCTCCAGTCATCCCCCACTCATGTTTCTTGTCCCAGTCTCCCTCCCTGGGCTCCTTGTCAAATCTCTGTGTTTCCCCATCGCAGTTCCTTGTCCCAAGTTCTTTGCCCAGCCGGTGCTTGTGTTCCCCCAACCTTGGCTCCTCATCAGATCTGTCTCCCCACTCACCTCCTTCCCCTTTGCATCCTCCTCTCCATGGCTCCCAGTCGAAGTCTCCACCCCTGGTTCCCAGTCCCAGTCTTTTTTGTCCAGCCAGCCACAGTTTCCTTCTTACCCCATCCCCTGCCAGTCTCCACTCCCAATCACACCCTCTTCATAATCTTCTTTTTCCAATCTACTCTCTGGTCTGGCTTCTGTCCCTTCTGCATTTGAATCAGGCAGCTACTTGGGCCTAGCAGGGAGTGGATATTGAGCATACAGATGGGACAGTGTAGATGCCTGAACCTGGGATGGCCTGCAGCAGCACAGAGGTGCAATTGAAGGGAAAATCCTACTCAGCCCTGGGCTACAGCATGTCCAGTATAGATGGAACCATCAGGGAATTTAGTTGCTAAGATCTATGAAGTCCCTACTGAGCATGTGCGAACTGCAATTTTGAAAGGCTTATAACTGGCCACATTTGGACAGGTTTTCATAGGGATGCACAAGGCACATTCCTGAAAGGGCACTCCCTTGCCAAACATCAAGTCTCTGCTTCAAAACATGGGTGCACTAGAACTTTTCAAAGTAAAAGGCACCAGAACATTTTTAGCATGGCCAAAACAATGTATTTTTCCTTAGCATCATACTTGGAAACAACTAAACTGCCTTTGCTGAAACATCTCAGAAAAGTTCAGCCTGAGGCAGACACCTAGCATAGAAAATTTCAGCCCAATGGGTTAAATTTTGGCAAAGGTATAAGAGTCTGATAATGTGATGTGTTTGGCAACCTTAATAAAAGGCAGTTGCACATGCCCCACCTGTAATTCATATAATGTGAAGGTGAAATTCATTTGACCAATGAATTTATCATTCACTTTTGATCTACCCTATTACCACTAATGCATCTTCTTTGGGCTAGTTCTAACATTCCTAACACCTGAACAGCATCAAACAGCTGCCATTTTTTAAAAAGCCAAACTACCAGAGAAATGTTTACTTCTTCCCAAACCAGGGGGGTCGGCAGCCTTCCAGACGTGGGGTGCCGAGTCTTCATTTATTCACTCCGATTTAAGGTTTTGCTGGCCAGTCATACATGTTAATGTTTTTAGACGGTCTCTTTCTAAAAGTCTATAATATATAACTAAACTATTGGTGTATGTAAAGTAAATAAGGTTTTAAAAATGTTTAAGAAGCTTTGTTTAAAAGTCAATTAAAATGCAGAGCCCCCCAGACCGGTGGCCAGGACCCGGGCAGTGTGAGTGCCACTGAAAATCAGCTCGCGTGCCGCCTTCGGCACGCATGCCATAGGTTGCCTACCCCTGCCCCAAACTGTAGAATTTCCCTCAAAAAAATTATACCTGCCTGAGCCCCAGAATAGGTAATATTCAGTTGTGTGCCAATGATGGGTCAAAGGGTTGGTATCTCTCGTCCCTGTAGGGCTAATAGCTTGCGTACTATCCCATTGGAAAGGAGAGATTCCCAGCTTGCTTTTAGCACTTGCTTCCTGCCCTGGAAAAGCCCAGAATAGCAGAATTTAATTATAGGATATTTTTATGTATAAAAAGATCTGTTTTAGATCATTTAAAATATATAAAGAGAGAACTATTAAAACTAATGTTTTATATCATAGTTAGCCGAGCTATCAAATTTTCAGAATTCCTCTCCCTCTAAGCCTGAAAAAGTGAACAGATCTTAACAAAGTTACTAAGTCTACTGAATGCAGAAAAATGCAGAAATAAAATCCAATAAAATGTTTTAAATCTCTAAAGCATTTGTAAATTATTTTTCTCTAACACATGATACAGAATACATGACACTGTAGTGTGATACAGTAAAGATTGTATTGCTGGATTGTACCATTTGGGATGACCTGCATAACTCACTCATGGCTTTGCCATTCATGGGTAATGCGACAAATCTTAAACTCATTCGGATAAAACCTGTATATGGCATTCTACAATTATGTATTCTCTGTCTTTCTGTGTCTGTATATACAATTATAAAACACTCACACAAATATGTGTAAAGTAATTTCCAAACTGGAATTCTGTCAGGACTCCATGCCTGTGCAAAAAGTGCTATGAGATATTTAATGAGCATTATTGGCTGTATATCTGCTCTGGAAGGCAAACTTCCAAATTCACCACCCTAGACACTACCCACACTTTTTGTCACACAAACTGTGTGTCATGAACAGTTAAGCATGTTTATTTGCTGTTCTCCACCTGTGTTTCAGTTTTTCTTTACCCACATCCCCTCAACAGACCAAACTATTAATAAAGGGTGAAATTCTACAAGCATTTCTATAACCCAGCACACTTTTGTGCTGGGATCTCCACTCGCTCTCAATATAAGAGTTTGGAGGAGTACAATAGAGTTGGGTAGTATAGATCCAGTATGTATGTTCAAAAGGGAGACAAATCATTGGTTACCTAACTTGTATTGCAGCTTTTGCAGAACTGGTTGACATATTTGTATATATTGAACTCACTCCTCTCCCTTAGTCTTGCTCCTCCTCTTTCCCTCTCCTGCATGGGGAATAAACAACCCAGGAAGAACTAACACAACTTTTTTGTCTCTCGTCTGCCTAGGAGTGGACTCCCTGAGCTGGTCCACCTGTTCCTTCCTGGTTTTAGCACCTCTCTTAGTATCCTATTTACTTATGTATATACCCAACTGGCTTATAGACAGGTCACTGATTTAAATAACTGAAATATTCAAAGTAGTGCTGAGTCATATATAAATATATAAGATAATTGTTTTAAGACATAAGTAACATCAAAAGAGGTGAATATTGGAGACTTCGAGGAATGTTAAGGTCTTAAAATGGACAAAATAGTATAAGCATCCAAATCCTTTGATGGCTAGAGCACAGTCTATTTTGATTAATTATTATGTTTATCTTAATACATTTTGTTTCTCAGTGCTATAGTTTACAGCAGGGGTCGGCAACCTCTGGCACACTGCTCG